ACCTCCCTGGAGGAGAATCATCCAGTTTTGTCAAAAAGGGCTAAACTCTCTCTGTGGAGGTTTCTGGAGACGGAGACAGTCAGACACAGCAACAGAAGGAAGATAAAAGTATTGATCCTTACTAAACTGGGATATTGGACAGATGGTAATGAGGAAGTCTGAGGAGACAATTATTCCTTTTTTCAACTCAACTCCACCTCATTGTCATTCTTCTGCATACGTGAAACTCCCATAGAACCAGATTGGATTTTTGCAGACTCAAACGCAAAGGCCATGGCGACACCATGAATAAATAAGTAAAATAATTCAATTAAAGTCTAAGTGAGAGTCTATATTTATAAAGTTTCATAAAGTCCAGGTGAGGGTTCCATGACCTTAAAAAAAACAGACAAATTGTTTTACTGCATCACGTCTTGATGAAGAACATCCATTAGAAAATGCCTGAGAAGATCACATGATCTGTTACTGCACCACCGCTCCACTGGAACGTACTCAACAGTGATGGAGGTGGAGCAGAGCGGACAGTGAAAACATTCACCTGTTTGTGTCGGACCATCATCCTGTGTCTGGAATCATGAAACTCCTCGGTCTCAAACTGAGCTGCAGAATGTTCTACACCAGTGTCCAGACTGAAAGCCAGCAGGAGGTGAAGGTTAATGGAAGAGACCGATTTACAACAACTACCGCAACAACAACAACAACAACATCTGCTGCTGTGGAAAGTCCTCAGAGCATCTGAAGTAGACAGCAGCCATTTTTTATTTTATTTTTTTTTATTTTCACTTGAGGACTGATTGGAGGAAAGATAGTCAGCAGAAACATCATCTGCACTCGGGGAGATTGTCCTGCAGCTTCAAGATCAGAGGAAACGAACAAAAGCAGTTTCTGTGGTCATGGTGGGGGGCAGCACTGAGTCCTTTGTTGAGTTTTTTTTGTTTTTGCAGTAATTATATCCAGTCTTCCTCATTTAACTTTGACAGGTCACCAGATGTTAACTAGTTCTAGACAAACTAGTGCTCAGTCATCTGAAACAAACAAATTCAAATTAATTGGAATGAAAGGTCTGTGTAGTAATTGAAGTACTGTGGATTTTTCTCACAATAAACTACAATGATATTGTGGTATCAGCAAGAAATAATTCCAAGATATTATCTCATAATTAATAATACTAGTGTCCAGTAGACACCCCCAAACCTCAGTCCAACCATAGAACTGTTGGTAACTGTGGAGTGTAGAGCTGTTCATGTTGTTGTTGGTGAGACTGCAGTGAGGAGCTGAGCTAGTAGGTGTTGACCAAACATCCACAAAACCTCCTTCATGCAACAGGAAACGTACTTGTAGAAATAAAAGGTATTGCTAACTTGAAAAAAAAAAGAAAAAACCCACAAAGAATGTCAATGTTGAATTCAGTGTTGCTGAGATGTTTTACAGACACAGAACTGAAGCTTTTAAAAAGAAATTCAAGGTCTGAAAGGTACTCACCTGAAATAGTTTACAGTGATGTTATTGCCAGGCAAAACTTATAGCCAACTTTCCTGTGGAAGCTTGTTGCATAATTTGTACAGACCATATTGTTTTTCGCTAAGACTTTCCTAATCAATGTAATATTTTAAGTTTACAGTTTGTAATTTATATCTAAAATATGTTGCTGTGAGCAAAGATGACAGATAATGTTAGCTACAACAGTCCTGGTACAGACACCAGCGCTAACGTTAGCTACAACAGTCCTGGTACAAACACCAGAGCTAATGTTAGCTACAACAGTCCTGGTACAAACACCAGAGCTAATGTTAGCTACAACAGTCCTGATACAGACACCAGAGCTAATGTTAGCTACAACAGTCCTGGTACAGACGCCAGAGCTAATGTTAGCTACAACAGTCCTGGTACAGACGCCAGAGCTAATGTTAGCTACAACAGTCCTGGTACAAACACCAGAGCTAATGTTAGCTACAACAGTCCTGGTACAAACACCAGAGCTAACGTTAGCTACAACAGGCCTGGTACAGACACCAGAGCTAACGTTGCCTACAACAGTCCTGGTACAGACACCAGAGCTAACGTTGCCTACAACAGTCCTGGTACAGACACCAGCGCTAACGTTAGCTACAACAGTCCTGGTACAGACGCCAGAGCTAATGTTAGCTACAACAGTCCTGGTACATACACTCGAGCTAACATTAGCTACAACAGGCCTGGTACATACACTCGAGCTAACATTAGCTACAACAGTCCTGGTACATACACTCGAGCTAACATTAGCTACAACAGTCCTGGTACATACACTCGAGCTAACATTAGCTACAACAGGCCTGGTACATACACTCGAGCTAACATTAGCTACAACAGTCCTGGTACAGACACCAGAGCTAACATTAGCTACAACAGTCCTGGTTCAGACAGCAGAGCTAACGTTAGCAACAAAATCTCAGGACATACAAACAGGGTGTCCAGTCCAGAGCCAGAAAGTCCTTCAAATGTTGAATATAACATCTGTAATTGTACTGTGTGTTTGTATTAATCTGTTAATGTGGTTGACTGACTATAAAGGTATTAGAGATAACTAATAAACATTCTTTAACTTTACCTAGATATTCAGTCCTCAGTCAAAATGTATGAGTTAAATAATGACAAGAATGTACTAAACTACTATAATTACATTATTGTGAATATTATGTGTTGTGAAAAGTGCCTTTCACTGGTGTCCTACCAGAATGAATCCTGAATACCATCGAAATGAAGTCACTGCTGTATAAACTATCAATATTATTCAGAAACTCTAAACTAAAATTCCTTAGGTTTATTTTTGCTCAAAGCTTAACATTCAACACATTTTCCTATGATATTATTATAATCCACTGCACCACCACAACAACTGAAGGGTTCTACACAAAATGCATCCCCTCTTTGTCCTCACTCTGCGTTAAATAACTGGTGTTGTACAGATGATTTGTGTGTTTCACTACCAACAACAAGTCCTTTCCTAACAGCACAAAGGCTGAGGCTGAGAGGCCATTGTATTCCTGACAGAGAGGTTTTTATCTGCTGTAGCCCTGCGTTTGTCCGCTCTGTACAAAGAACCAATCATTACACATTTCTGTTCAACCTGTAGATAACTCGGACTGTCACTTAGTCATTGATCAAACTCATTTCTCAGGGTCAATCAGTGGCGTTGCTGCTGTTGTTGTTTTCTTTACAGCAGCACCATCCTCACGTCACCCTGCTGCTGGAGAAACAACGCGCATTAAAAATTAAGCAGCTGATTTCTACCTTAAATACAGGAGCTGTGGCCAGGCAGAGAGAGCGTCCATCACCTGCTCCTTTCAGTCCTTCTCAAACCATAAAAACAGAAATGATTCAGACAATTGCAGTGGGTTTCAGCACCAAGGACAGCGTCACTGGGGTCGATTATTATGAGGTCCATTTCATGGAGGAGTTACTAACTCATTGACCAGGTAAACATCAAACGGAGCCTGTTTTGTGACAATAGAAGTTCATTGCTTAAATTTACAAATGCCAAACACTTGATTAAACATGACTATTTTTACATGTTATACACAGACATATTTCAACATAAACAACACATATATAAAAGTCTTCAACACGGATCAAATTGTTTCTGCTACATAAACAATATATAGTAATAATATTAATATAAATAATGATTACAATACATTTAGCAGACACTTTTATCTAAAGCAACTTGCAATTTGAGTCAGTCAAGCTACATTACACATATGAAATAAAATACATTTCTTCTTCTTCTTATTATTATTATTAACAACAACAACAACAACAACAATAATAATAATAATAATTAATTGGCAGTGTTGCCATAAGCATAGCAACAAATAGGAACATTCATACAGCTACATATTTCAGTACCAGATTTCTTTTTTTTTTTTTTAAACAGTAGTTACCAAAATAGAAGCGACCCAGATGTGGGTTATTGGTGGTAATATGTGGATCAAACCAGAAGAATCCCAGGTATGAGAGACGTCCATATTTGTACAGAGGAGACTAACAAGTCATTGGTGTCTTTGTGTGCCCCAGGTGGGATCCAGTAGGAGCCCTTACCTGCCACCTGTGGGCCACGTCTGCACGATATCTGGTGGTTTTTAAAAAGTGCCAGCAAAACAAAAAGAAAGACAAAAAGAGAAAAACGGACCGAAGTTTGAACACACCACCATACACTCCTAGTTTGACTGAATGGATGGTGTGTGTTTTCGTTCCGAGGTCTCTGTTTACTTTACCTTAAACAACATAAAACAGTCCTGGTCCTTGGGGTTTTACACCAATGTTTTTACATCCCCCTGCCGCCCCCCGCCCTCGTCTGTCACACACACGCTGAGGCACGCGCGGTATCACGTGGACGCGCA